TGTCTTCAGCGGTTGTGTCGGGAAGGTGAGCATCATACAATGCCAATTTAATAGAAGAAAGTATTCTTGCGTTGAGGGAGTACTTGAGTGGAGGCCCAATGTCCTTCTGCTACCTTAATACTAACCCTATAGATATCGGCACATAGCTCTATTTCCCCAGGGAGTGATTCATTCTGTTGTACATAGGGTCACTATGAATTGGAACTGATTCGACAGCACCTAACAATAAGCTATTTTTCTGAAAGTTAAAAATTTTAAGGCACATTTGGGGGAGAAAATAAGTAGTAACAACAACAAAAAGAAAACTCAAGCATTTACTCTATAGCAGCAGTTCTCAACCTGTGGGTCATGAATCCTTTGGGTGGGGTGTCGAACCACCCTTTCACAGGGGTCGCCCGATTCACAACAGTAACAAAATGACAGTTATGAAGTAGCAACGAAAATAATGTTATGGTTGGGGCATCACCACAACAGGAGGACCTGTATTCCAGGGTCGCGGCATGAGGAATGTTGAGAACCACCGTTCTAGAGTTCCTAGACTCTATAGTCACTTATGTACTCATAACCCTGCCACTAACTTGGAAGTTACAGTCATCTGTAAATAAGGATATGGCTTTATTTAATGTAAATAAGGATGTGGCTCTCTCTAGGTCCACACAGAAATCCAGATGTGCGTATGGAGGCAAAAAACCACCACGAGGAAAACCAACATGATCTCCATGGCAGAGGGGCGAAAGGAAACCTACTGGTCCTGAGGGCACTGTCAAGCGTCTAAACCAGTCTTAAATACTGACTTACTTAAGCCACAATTTGTTGGGCTATTTGTATACATATCTAACCACTAGGATACAAGTGGTTATAATGTCACTTGTACTGGATGGTTATTTGAAAGATCAAATGATATTTAAAGGATCTCAACAGAGGAATTGAAACAAAATGTGTTATGATTTGTTGAATGCAAAACTGATGATCTGCTTTGTAAGCTTTCATCTAATTCACAACCAAAGTGTTTTAAAAAAATCAAATGAGGTAATAAATGCAAAGCTCTTAAGGAAAGCATCTGAGCAATAAGTGTTCGGATCATATTATCTTCTATTACTATGATAACTTCTGATAACTTCAGAAAATTTGAACTTGTGTACTTGTCTAGTAAAAAATTATTTTGAAGTTGGAGGGGCATACTATAATCTTTAAAAATTGAGTTTTACGGTACATGAAGGTCAAGATGGATGAAAACTCAGAGACAGGAGTGGCGGTTCCCTGAGGGTATGGGGGGGGGGGGGGGGGGGTTTGCTGGGGATGGGACGTGGGAAAGGGGAGTAGATAGCCTATCAATGATTGAACAACCCCACCCAATAGAGGGGACTGAACAACAGAAGTGTATGTGAATGGATATACTGGAATGTGTAAGACATGTCAATAAAACTATTACTAATTTTTCAAGATGGAGTTTTAAAGTGGCTAGGAATGAGATGGATATGGGTTTCTATATCTAATCATAAATCCAAGCGATTAATGACAGATTTACAGGTACATTGCTAAAATAGGTCAATATTTATTTTCTTTATTATAGTCCATTTTATCAATTGTTTCGGTGTAAATAGCTGCTCACGAGTGGATCACAAACTTTGTCAGTATCAGCTTGGCTCTGCAGTTTCTGGCCACGAGTGAAAGCAATTAGAGAAAGCTAATGATTAGGGCACAGTGCATTCCCTGATTGTGTTGTCTGTTTAATAAAGATCTATAGTGCATGTTGATCAGTGTCACCTCAGACATTCACAATTTAAAACAATAAAAAACAAAGTCTCTTCAAGCTTATTCTGAGTAATTTTCCCTCCTAAACCAAGTTGAGTCTCTTTCCCTTCCCCCTTTGCCTGCCAAATGCTTTGCTATAATTAACTTGTGGTCTATAAGCATAAGGATAATTACTCAGCTATCTATTTATCCATATCCTACCTTACTCCAGAAAATATTTTTAATAGCTAATGGTTTCTCAGTATGGCCCTACACAAAGAAATCTCTTAATAATTATTTAAATTACAGTACCACGAGTTGTTTGTGTGTGCGTGTTATAATGCTTAACAGCTCTCGATGACTTGGCATTTTTAACAGTTCTTTTTGTGGGAGTATAACAAGTAAACTCCTTAAATTTTACTCCCATTTTAAGCCCCAATCTTCTTCCTTCAATTTGAAATTCTTATTAATGTAATAGCTTTGTCATATATTCCTGTGATCCAGGCCCTGCAGCAGATCTAGGAGCTGGTCTCATCCTTGAGCAAGCTCAGAGTCTAATGAGTACAGTAGAAATGTATGCAGTTGACAAAGAGACTAGCTCGATGGTCCATCACCGACCCACTCTAGGATGTGGCGGGCTCTGCACAGACACTGGTCGAACTGATCAAATGTCAGGGTCAGGTTCATCCAGATGCTGAGAGCACATGTAAGCTGGACTAAATCTCAAAGGACAGGTAGAGTTTGAATAAGGTAATACTGAGCAAGGGCTATTTCAGAAAAGAGAAGATGCCTTAAATGTAAGGAGACAACAGTAGTGTAAAGCAAACGAGAGGAACCAGCAATGGAGGGGGAGGAAAACGGCCAGGAGATCTGAGTGGGTATTATTAGAAGGCAGTGTCAGGGAGACCATCTATCAGAGCTGTCGACACACTAGGCTGTCTAGGAGCAGGGAAATGTGAGAATTATTTTAGGAAGCCAATTTAAGAGTGTGAGGCGGGAGCCAAAAAGTGGCAACATAGCAGGATGGAAGACCACTTACAGGTTAGTAGCATTAAGCACTGACTACAAGAATGGAAAACGAGAAGAGGCAGAAAAGCGGATGCGCAGCCACTGGAATTTCAACAATTCTGCATTACTGATTACTTTTCAGGAAGAGTGGTGGAGTGAACCTCCAGCACTGCAGTGAATAAATAAGACTCCTGAACATCGATAATGGAACCCTGGTGATGTAATTCATGTTTGCGTGGTGGGCTGCTAACCACAAGGTCAGCACCAGCCCCTCCCTGGGAGAAAGATGAAGCTTTCTCTCCAGTCAAGAGTTACAGTCTCAGAAACCCACAGGGGCAGTGCTACCCTGCCCCTGTAAGGTCAGTATGAGCAGGAATCAACTCGATGGCATTGAGTTTGGAACCTGAGTTATTCCGTCTGAAAATGTTAGCAATAAAAGGAAGAATGGCTATAGAGTAGTAACAACAAGACAATTTGATTTTGTGCTGTAAGGCATGTTTTGTTGAGTTCAGTTTGGAAGACTCATAGAAATGGTTTGTGAGGGAAAATGACCGTTGCATTTCCTAAAGGACACTGTGTGCTCATTCTTCATGTATCTGTGAGGTGTATGTCAATACCAGGGCTCCCTTGGAAACCAACTACTGAAGAAAGACCCAAGCCTTCGGTCGTGGAATAGGACCACCCACCATGACTGACAGATGTGACAAATAACCTTCTATTGTGTAGTCACCAGACTTTAAAAAAATAAAGAAATGCAGAGAGAGCTGCTGATGGACAGAAGCCAAGGGGATAAAACCAAGTAAAAGCGATGAAAATAAGGACACAATCAAAAGCAAGTACAGTAGTTATTCTTGAAACAAAATGGCAGCGCCTTATCACTGAATTACTTGTAGAGACGTACCAAGGAGAATTTGAACAGAACAGTATTTATACAGGCATGATGTGAAAGCCCCGTTCATTATCTTGAAAGGTACTGTAGTACTTTCTATGATACTTCTCCATTTTGCAAAATTATAAAAGTGTCTTTTCCATTCAAAAATTATGTCAATTATTTGAAGCACTTTAGAACAGCCTAGTTTTACCATTCAACTTTTATTCAGAAATGTTCCTAAATTTCTTGGCACCTTGTCAAATTAAGGCTGCTGAGTAAAACAACAGAATGTGTCTAGATGCTTTGGTAATGTAAAAAAAGTAGATGGTGAACCTCAAATGTTTTCATTCCATTATTCTCCTTTCTTAACTAATCACATGTCTCTTGAAGAACATGGGCAAACTGTCTTGGAAAAGTATGCCTAAGTTATTAGTTGGGAGTCTGAAGGGTATGGGGACTTATGCTAATGAAGGGAGGGCACCACAGAGAGAAGGGTGAGAATAGTTGTACAACTTGAAGAATGTCATCAATACCATGGAATTGCACATGCAGAAACTATTGAATGGGTGTCTGTTTTGCTGTATGAATTCTCAACAACGATGAAAAGATAAAATTTAAAACATTTTAAGTATGCTTGAATTACTGGGTGCAGGTATTAAACTTGAATGAGTTATCTTCTTTTTATACCTGTTGGGACTCCACGGTATAGTGGGAGTCATACTGATGTCTGGAAACAAAACCCCATTGTCCTTGATCCTGTCTAGTGCATAATGCATCTCACAGAGGGGTAAGCGATTCAATTGAAACTGAAGTTCAACCTGAAACACACACAAAAAGGTCATTTTAAACAAAGAATTGAGACCAACGTTAACACCTTCAGTTCCCTCAACTACTACTTGGAGATAACTTGTTAGGGTGGATAAGTTCTGAGATTCTTTTAAAGCATTACCATATTCTAATAATAGCAATTGTTGCTATTAGATTCATTTATTTAGTGCCAAGTGCTGCAATGTTATCTGGTTTAATAGTACCAATTTTATGTGTGATTATTCTCAGTTTACATGTCAAAATACTGTGGCGCCTAAAAATTACTTAAACTCTGATTTCAAAAGTGAACCACCCTCTTAGGGTTAATGAAACATTGGAAGGCAGAGTTAAGGTTATGGCTAAAACCTCTACAACTGAAGAACAAAAAGTACAATGAAATGAGGTCCTCTGCAGGACTTTAAAGCAAATAAATATCATGACATCCACACCCACAAGTAACAAGTGGATATATACATAAACTTGATATTCATTTATGCACAAGCCCTTTATAAAATTGTCAAAAAATAGTTTATTCTTGAACCAAATCTAGCTCCTACAATACCTAGATCTGACTTAAAAGGCAAACAAATATCCACGTGTCTGTATCTATAAAGTAAATGTTGGCGTGAGGAGAGAACGTGAACAGTCAAGATGATTCACGGGACCAAAGCACTCTTATCACTAACTGTCCATACAGAGGAGATCTGTGGATGTTGCTTCTGCTCAATGCTGTTTCCATTACAATAAAAAGGCACAAGAATAAACAGCTTTCTCTTTCTTCTCAGAAACCAAATTCCTCCTAATAAAATGTCTTGTTTACAATAAGTAACATGCCACACAAATTTTATGGTCATCACTTCAATTTTATTCCTGTGGTTACAAATATATTTTTCTTTTTTGCTTATGTTTACAAGTGGTACTTCTCTTTAAGTGAGGTAACGCAAAGTGTCCAATGTTAAGTATGCAGCTTGATGCACATTACATGTAGTAATAGTCTACCTATTACATATGTGTAACATATATGTATACACACCTGTAACCACCAGGTAGAATCTCTAGATAAAAAAGAAAATAAGATTCCCAATTAAAGTTTAATGTCAGATAAACAATAACTTTTTTGCATATACATATAGTAAATATGTCAGTCAAAAAGAAAGCATTTGTTTATCTGAAATCCAAATTTAACTATTTTTATTTGCTGCATCTGGCAAGCCTATACCCAGTTCAAGTTACAGAATACTTCCAGAAGATTCCTTCATGTCCCCTTCCCAAGTGAAACCCATCCTTGAGGAGAAGTGGTATTTTTGACTTCTCACTATGGATTAATTTTTTTCTGTTTTTGAACTCTACATCCTGCTATTTTTACACAAAATATACATTAAGCATCTTTCAAAAAACATGTTGCTGTAAAAAAATTAGCATAGCATGCTTACAAAAATACTTTGAGGGAGGGCACACTTGACAAAAAGTCTAAAATGCACATGCTATTTGCCTAAAAATACAGCCTACATGGATTCTGTTCTTTGTACTTTTTGTTGTCTTCTTTTGTTCAGCATTATGTTTGTGCGATTCATCCACGATGTAGCAGCTGTTGGCTCCTTTCCACTGCTGTGCACTACTGTGTTTTATGACATACAAAAGATTAGCCATTGTACTGCCCTACAATGTGTTTTCAACTAGAGAAACAACTGGTCCTAAATCTGTAACGCACAATGTAATAGAACATAGGACCACGTTACTCAATAGCTATTGCAACAGATTTGTAAGGATCCTATAAATCTGTGTGACCAACAAGCAGAGGCACTTTCAAACACTCAGGAAGAACTGAATCAGTAGATAAACTATTAGTAGACATTATCAAACTTCACCATTCCTATACTGAATGGATTTGAGAAAGTCCGCAGAACACCGCTGACACATTACCTAGCAGGAATCAAAACCTTTCCAGCCTTAGGGCATACTGAATGACAACAAATAATATTCACCAAGTGTTATGTGTAAGGAAGAAAAAGTATTAACCTTCCAGTTAAACATGGCAAATTAACATAAGAGTCCATCTACAAACTCTCCGGGAGCGAGAGAGAGCAGGAGCTAATTCAACTGCAGGTGGGAGAGATCACAGGCTGACAGCTAAGCTTCTTTTCATCTGTTTTAAAACTGATCAGAAAACTAAATCTTACATAAATCTGGGATATTGCAGATGTTACTTAGATTAAAAGAAGTCTGATGCTCAATCCACCAGTGTGTGACTTCAAAGCCAAGTGTGCTTGTCATGGCAAAAAAAAAGAGGAAAACCACACCAGCAGAGCACACTTCACCGTATGGGACAACTACCCTTCAAAACATACCTGCATGTCACAGTCAGGTCGAAGGCTCAGTTCTTCACAGCATTCCCTGGATATCCTTAAAAATATATAATCTTTTGTTTTTTCTTCAATAGTAGCTTCAAAGACCTTCTCTTTGGTTCCCTGGGTCTGCGCTAACTTCTCTTTAGGGACTGGTAATAAATAAACAGCATTGACTTTGGTCATCACCAGCCGTCCAGCCAAAGTATCTTCAGAAAGTGTTTTAGTAAGCTTAAAGCGGCCAAAAAGCTGTCCATTCTGAGCATATTTTGCACCCCCGGAAACTCCAGTGAGCATGAAGCTTGCTAGAATCTGCAATTGCACTTTAAGGTTGAACCTAAACCAGTAAAGAAAAAATTAGTATTTTACACAAAAAATTTAAGAACTAGACAAATAAGAAAAAATAAATCAACTGTAGACATACCACAATTTAAATTTTCACATCCGTTCTATTTCACTGAGTTAAACACTATATATAGACTAGATCTCCCTTGGATCCATGCTGGAAATAATGCTCCCCCACACCGCTTTCAGAGAATTAACTCCCACAAAGTTATCAAAGAATGCAAGCTTCATTGTGTTGAAGAATACACTAACCCCAAAATTCTGATTACTTAACACCAACTGTGATTTTTTTAAATAAAAGGAAATATGATTTCTTAATATGAAAATGTTTTTAATTACATTAACTGAGCAATTAAGAACTTAAAATCATCTGGAACCAGAGGGAAATGTATTGCAAAGGGCAGTGGACTTTTATTAGACTGTTTCCGAGGAAGTTCTTACCAAATGAGTCTAACCACGAAATTTCACTTGCAATTACGTTAATGCACAACATTCAGAATATAGTTTGCTCATGGCTTCACGGAGGCGGATCCCACTCGGGAGCTAATGAAAGAGAACTGAAGGCTATCTTATCAGGCATTCACGAAGCGTCCTCGTATTAATGTGAGTGTGAGAGAGAACATGCGTGCAAAAGGATTAAGTCACCCAATCAAACATGAATGAAGGAAAGATTTACAAGATAACTGCTTTTCCCGGTTGCCATTCTGAAACAGTGCTTTAAGAGGCAAGACTAGAGGATACCAAGTAACAAGGACATTTTCTCCTTTTCTTTCTAAGGGTCTCAACAATCTGAACAAAACTTGTCTTAAAAGTTGACATAGCCGTACAAGAGAAAAAACTACTTTTAAAGGATACTACTGAATTATTCTCTTTCCAGAGCTCCTTTTGTATGCATGATGTGGAGAATGTCTTATATATCCTTTAAGGAAAAAACACTTTTTAAAGAAACTGTAAAGTAAATAAATAAAGTCTTTAAAAAGACAGTGTAAATTTCCTAAATGAAAATATTTACATTGCTTGTAATACCAGGAAAACAAATCATCTAATTCAAGTAGAGTATTAATATTTTAATTATCCATTTATATACTTTAAAGTTAAAAATTATAAGGTCATTTATGTTAATCAGAAATAAAATATTTAAGGAAAATAACACATATGAATAGCAATTTGTGAATATAGTATGTCTTAACAGTTTATAAGCCCCACTAGTAATTCAAAAAACCACATTTATAATAGATGACTTTGGTTCCAAAAAGATATCTAAATATCTAGTTAATATTTAATAATGTGGCTGCTTTTTAAAAATCAAGTTAATTCCATAATATTTGCCTAATAAACAGATGTGGACTCTAGAAATATTCTATTTCTCTCATTCTCTATGCACATTTCACTAGATCCAAATTAGGGAAACTATGGAAATGGTTTAAAATACAACTTGTACCTTGCCTAGTTACGTTTTTTTGTTTTGGTTTGGTTTTTTTGCCTAGTTATGTTCTAAAGCCTGGGTGTGCATTAAGGATTTTTTAAATGGAAGCATAACAAAGTGCAGTTTTTCCTAGTTTACATACAATCTATGTTCACCTGTTTCTTTATAGAGTGTGATTAAAAAAACAAAACAAAACAAAACAAGAACACTTACATTAGTCACTTGGGTTAGGTGCTTTCTCAAATAAAGTTAAAGTTTTGCTTACTGTCCACAAATGAGGTGTGGGAGTCACCAAAAACGTTCTCAGAGGGACAAGTTTACTTAGGCTGCATTCATAATTCCAAAATTAACTTTCTTGTTGCAAAAGTCAATGCACAGTTTTCAGGGTTTGTCCCCCATCTGCGCACCCCCTTGGATGATTCTCCTTTTTTTCAGTTGCTCTTTCACAGGTTCCTGGGAAGCCCAACTCTCCGGGTCGGGTCTCCCTCCTTCCTCCACTCTAGCTCTGCCTTCTTCTACTCCCTCTCCCAGGTCTCCCAGCTCAGCTCAGGCAGACACCTTCACTTCAGTGCCCCTCCCATTCAGACCAGGTAATATGGACTCACCACCTGGTCTCCCCACCCACGCCCCCAAACCTATCCTCCTGTGTATAATATAATTTAGAGTGATCCAAATCCATACCTGAAACCAAGTCATCCTTGGCCTTGCCTATGCCACCAACCTTATTTTCCCCTTCATACAATAACCAGTCCTGGGAGTCCATGCTCCAAATTCACGTACCTGGTCACTACATAACCCTCCATGTATGCAACATGGGGTATCGTAACAAGCTCTGATCTCGACTTAATCTCAAACAGATTCTCCACACCACCACAGGAAGATCTCTAAAAGGTCAGCCAGCCCTTTCCTATAGCTCTGACGAGACTATGTAAGCAGTTCCTTACCTCACACTATCCCCACACCACATCAGAGCTCACGATTCTAGCTGCTGTTGGACTTCGGTGTGGTTGGGTTAGTGTTAGCTCATAGAAAGCCCAAGCACGAGAGTGAAACCATTCCTGGTCTTCCGTCACCCTCACAAAAGTTCCTGTGTTTGAGTCCACTGTTGAAGCCACTGTGTCGACTCATCTCGTCAAGAGACTGCCTCATTTCCCTGCCTTTTTACTTTACCGAGACGATGTCTGTTTTCCAGGGACTGGTCTCTCCACAGAACATATCCAAAGTTTGTGACATGAAATCTTATAATCCTTGTTTCTAAGGCGCATTCTGGCTGTAATTCTTCCAAGTCGGATCTGTTTGTTCTTTTGACAATGCATGGTATATACAATATCCTTCGCTGACCCCATAATTCAAATACATTAGCTCTTCAATCTTCCTTACCCAATGTCCAACTTTCTTATACGTATGAAGCAAATGAAAACACCACGGCTTGGGTCAGGTGCACAATAATTATAATGATCAAATTGCAGCCCACCCCCTTCTCCAAGCCCCTGGCTCTCATTCTCTTATCCTAAGGACTCTAACTATAAACACTCATATCATACATTTTAACTTGGTAACTTGTTTTTCAAAATGTAACTTAAATACCTTCTCCTCCAAAAAGTGTCACCTGACTGCATCCCTCCTTCCCATTCACGTTGGCATGCACCATCCATGGACTCACGTGTGCCTGTATCACCTCGCCCCTCACCTAGGTTCTAAACTCGGGGGGGGGGGGGGGGGGGAGTTGTGGGGGGCACGGACAGACATGGCATACTTAGAATCATGAATGATTCATCTAGATCCTAACATTTGGGACATGCAAATAATAAATTTTGTTCATTGAATTCATTTTATATTTTTGTAATAGTATCCATTTCTTCCCATGCACCTGTAGAGGCAGTGAATTATTGAATGTGGTTCTACTAGCACAGCGGTTCTCAAACTGTGAGTCATGATACCTTTGGGGATCGAATGACCCTTTCATAGGGGTTGCCCGATTCCTAACAGTAGCAAAATTACAGTTATGAAGTAGCAATGAAAAGAATTTTATAATTGGGGGTAGGGTCACCACACCATGAGGAACTGTATTAAAGGGTCGCAGCATTAGGAAGGTTGAGAACCACTGTTCTAGCCCAAGTCTCTTAACTCCCACCAAACGACCATTCCCCTGTATGGGTCTGGTAAGAGGGTAGGTGGAAGATACGTATAGGATTCACCTGTGAGTAATTGCAAACAGGATTCCCTGGAATGGCATCTTGCTGTGTATAAAATGAGGCCTCCGAGAAGCAGAAGGAGGGATCTCATCACCAGCAAGACCCAGGAGTGAAGCATAGATACAAAATCTCTGGGCAGTGAATCTCCTGGATCAGTGGTTCTCAACCTGTGGGCCGCGACCCCTTTGGGGGAAGGGGGCGCTATTAAACGACCCGTTCACAGGGATCGCCTAAGCCATCGGAAAACACATAAATATTTCACAATATATAATTACATATTGCTCTATTATTAACCACTATGCTTTAATTATGTTTAATTATGTTCAATTTGTAACAATGAAAATACATCCTGCATATCAAATATTTACATTACGATTCGTAACAGTAGCAAAATTACAGTTATGAAGTAGCAACGAAAATTATTTTTATAATTGGGGGTCACCACCACGAGGTGCTGTATGAAAGGGCTGCGGCATGAGGACGGCTGAGAACCACTGTCCTGGGTCCAGATGAGAGCTACTGCAACAGAGGAGCAGCAGTAGAGGCAAAAGCCAATCCATGGAATAGAGTGACAGACTTCCCAAGCCGGAAAACAAGTAAAGGTAAGTGCTTTTGTCAGGAAGCTGGCTAGTGAAGTAGGATGCCTCTGGGCTCTTAAGTCGGGAAATTGGACTTGGTGACCCAGGGAAGTGGAGCTGAGTATCTTCAAGCTAAGGCTTACTGGAGTGGGGTGCCTCTGGGCACTTAATTCAGGGAACTGAGTTTGCTGAGCCAAAGAATTTAAACTGAATGCCTTGGGGTTGAAGCTTAGAGCAAAGTGGTATGTTCTTTGGAGACTTATTAGTAGATTGGCAGAATTTTGTAACATGTCCTAATAAACCCTGAGCATTTCTCACTGGCATTACTTTTGAACTTCTTTAATAAACCCTTTAGTCATGAATTTTGTGTGAGTTCTGCATAGCCATTGCAATACATATTAGAACACAGAAATAAATTGCTGAACATTTAGTCATCACAAAACCATAATCCCATTTCAAACACTTAGCATTATTCCCTAAGAAATTCTAAATATCCTGGGGAACCGATTACAAGGATCTACATATCACCTCCTCTCTGGGGGATGGACAACAGAAAAGTGGGTGAAGGGAGACGTCTGACAGTGTAAGATATGATAAAATAATAGTAATTTATAAATTATCAGAGTTCATGAGGGAGGAGAGCGGGGAAGGAGGGGAGAAAATGAAGAGCTGATACCAAGGGCTCACGTAGAAAGCAAATGTTTTGAGAATGATGATGGCAAAAAATGTACAAATGTGTTTGACACAACGGATGTATGTATGGATTGTGATAAGCGCTCTATGAGCCCCCAATAAAATGATTTTTTAAATTTCTACTAAATATCCTATAGTTTTCAACTACCTTAAAGCAATATATTAAAATGGCATGGCTAGATCTATTTTTGAATGTCATTTCAAAACATTTGGTTATAATTTAGCAGGTAGGAGCAATAAGAGCATCCTCTTGTGACACTGAGTCATACCTTGCAACCCAAACTCTTTCAGAAAAGGCACTAGAAATAAAAGTTCTAAGTTCAGCTTGGTAGTTCATCACATGTTCAAAATGCAAACACAGGAGACTTTTAGAAGTGCAGCTACTAATATTTAGCTGTCCTAGAAGAGTAACAAACCCTGAAATTACCTTAACAAGTTCTCACACGTACTTAAAATAAATACCGTTTCTAAATGGGAGTAATTCAGACACATATAAAATACAAAGTATATCTTAAAGTATTATTTCTTATTGAAAAAAAAATTCCCTTTCCATTGTTACATCCCCTATTTTGAAACCAGTTTGAACACTTACATAATTTCTAATCTTCTGGGCAATAGTAAAATAGCCAGTCAAATTTTCAACCAATTAAAAATCACACTTCTAACTAATGGGAACCATGACTCTCAACCTTCACAACAGTTTCATTACTTGTTTAAACATTTCTTTTCAAAGCTAGACAATGAATTTCACTTCATGAAATTTCTGACTATTATGAATAGAGACCAGCCAAGATAATGAGCCTATCCCTCGGCTTTTTGGGCTGAATCGAAAATCACTGAGGCCACACCCACCTGGAGGATGAAGTATGCATCTCCATACAAAGTCTACCTCGGTTATCTCCCAAGAGGCCAGGCCCAAGGGTTAGGCTTACCACTGTACAGTTCTATGGAGCCTGACCAAACCCAGTTTCTTTTGAAAATGTGGACCGTAGAATTACACAGATTTCACATCATGGTAGACGTAACGCAGATCAATGTGTGGCTGAAGAAAAGAGAATCCAGAAAAAGATCTAAATCTCAGAAGCACTTTCTAGAACTTCAGTGAAATGCAGTAGCTCCTTTACCATCTGCAGATACCTCACATTCAAACTTGCTGTGCTGCTTAAAAAAAAAAAATAGTAATAATCTCTTCCTTTAAAAAAACAACAACAGTATTGCTTTCCCAGATGGCGGAGGGGCAGATCCTGGTGCTTGATGGCCGCAGCCATCTCCTGGGCCGTCTGGCGGCCATTGTAGCCAAGCAAGTGCTGCTGGGCCGCAAGGTGGTGGTGGTGCGCTGTGAGGGCATCACCATTTCTGGCAACTTCTACAGAAACAAGTTGAAGAACTTGGCCTTCCTCTACAAGCAGATGCACACCAACCACTCCTGCGGCCCCTACCACTTCCGGGCCCTGAGCCGCACCTTCTGGAGAACTGTGCGAGGCATGCTGCCCCACAAGACCGCACGGGGCCAGGCTGCCCTGAAACCACTCACGGTGTTGGACAGGATCCCATCCCCTATGATAAGAAAAAGCGGATGGTGGTCCCTGCTGCCCTCAGAGTGGTGTGACTGAAACCCACACACCCAGTTTGCCTACCTGGGCCGCCTAGCCCATGAGGTGGGCTGGAAGTACCAGGCGGTGATAGCAACCCTGGAGGAGAAGAGGAAGGAGAAGGCCAAAATCCAATTCAGGAAGAAGCAGCAGCTCATGAGGCTGCGGAAACAGGTCAAGAAGAACTTAGAGACAAAGATCAACAAGTACACAGAGGTTCTAAAGACCCATGGACTCCTGGTCTGAGCCCAATAAAGACTTAGTCCTTCAATAAAACAAAAGAAACAAACAAAATTCCAGCCACAAGCCAAGTAATATATTAAAATAGAAATAAGCACTACGTTTGAAAGGTGTAGGAGAAAAAAATAACCTTTTCAACGAGGTCTGAAACTTTGTCAAAAACTTTTGAAAAGCTTTACAAAATATGCCTGCTACGGACATGTTACAGATGTCCTTTCAGAACTTGATCTAATTATTAGCAAAACGTTGTTTCTTTGTATGTTTATCAATTCCTTACTGTTCGTCACTAAATTCTACAGGCCTACCAAGTCAGATGGGGAGTTTCCAACCTTCACTCCAGGGTTACCTTTAGGAGTGAGGATCACTGGAAAATTTCTACTGTCACCTAGTAGTCCCATCTTGTTCTTGTCACATCCTTCAAAAAGCCTTTGGGTATTTAGCATATAGGATGTCAAAATAATCCTACTTATTAATACTTTGTAATATACCCCCTACTTGAGTCAATAACCATAATCTAATTTCCAAAACTGTAGAGAGAAAGCACACATGCTGCCCCCAATAAGACTACATCCTATCTCACAGCTACGTCTCCACTCTGTCTTATACAACCCTCTTTTCCATGCCTGAGGGCACTTTTGCATTAAGTGCTGCAAATGAGCCGTTTCCTTTATAGTCCGTGATATATTGCTTTTTCTTATCTTAATAGTAATAATGTGGTCATTGTAGGACATTTCGAAAGTAGAGAAAAACTATACATCTGAACACAAAAATTAACGCTCATTCCACCAACCAAAGCAGTTTTGCTTCCATTTCTTCCAATATTTCACTTGTAAATATATATGTAAGTATACAAGTATATGTGTGCATATCCAAACACAAAAAATAGAACTGCAGTGATAAGGTTTTATAACTTGCACATTTTCCCCCTTAATATTATATCACAAGCATTTTTATTAAAAATCCTTCAAGAACATAATAGTTAAATGTCATTTGAGCATGTCTATATTCAAAATTTACTTGGTTTTTACAACTCTCTGAAAGATATTTGCTCAGGTATCTTTATCTTCTTCATCTTTGATTCCTTCATCTCTGCTGATTCCTTCTTCAAGATAAATCCCCAAAGAAGAATTACTACACTATAAGGTTCAAATGTTCTACAGACCTGCACTTCAGATAAAACAGAACAAATAGCCCCCAGAAATATTATACCCACTTAGTTCATCACAAATGTTCTCTTCTTACTATTGTACGATTTCTTCTTTTTTTAAAATTTAACTCATATTTTCTTTTTTAAAGAGATTTTACTTATTGTTAATTAACCCATAACTTTGGGGTCTAATATTGCTGTTCTAAGGTAATCTGGAGTCATTTTAAACATTAATATAATATTAAAGTTAATATATACTTTTTCTATATTTATAATATGATACTAAAAAATCATTTCCAAGATTCTAGTAACCTTTGAAATTCCATTTTCACTCCAATATATATATGATGTATAATCGAATCTTTTCCTCAGGTAAAGGAAAGTATGGTCACGTACATAGTATGTACATATATATAAATGTGCTTGGTACAACTGATGTATGAATTGTTACAAGAGCTGTAAGAGCCCTCAATAACATGCTTAAAAACAAACAAAAGTAATTCTAACGGGAGCTTAAAGAAAAGTATACTGCTTAGACTTTATTCAAAAGGAGTAACATTTACAAAAAGTACACGTTTCATAATTGTGGTTCAATTTTTTTTTTTAAGTTCAGCACTGTTATACCTAAAACAGAATGCTATTACCAAATAGGACAACCATTTCACTAACTGTCTGCCTTCACTCGGGCTTTTCTTTTCTAAGTTTTTCAGTATGATTAAAATAATGTTGATTCAAGCACATGGTCTTAGCCTGGAGCATATGGATAAAATGCATAATAGCATAATATGTTAAAGCACTTATAAATCACTATAAAGCTATTTTGTTATTATCAAATGATTTTCCCAAGATCTACATTGTTTCTGTCTTCAAAGACTTGTCAAAATGTATGGTCTCTGGTGCCACATTGAGCTGCTTACCCAAAAAAAAGGTCACTGGACACCTCAGGCGAAAGATGATGCTGTCTATTCTCAAAGAGATTTAAAGTCTCAGAAACCCAAAGGGGGCAGTTCTACTATGTCCTACAGGGTCGCTGTGAGTCAGAATCAGCTCAATGGCAGTGACTTTTGAGTTTTTATTTATGCACCGACTATTCCTGAGTGCTTACTGACTCCCACTGAAGGGAAGCAGGGATGAAAGAAGAGCGACCACCACATACTGATCTCATAGCACCTGGCAAGGAGCTTGTCGCCTAGGAGATGCTTAGCACAGTCCTGTAGAAACAGGAACTGGGTGTGAAACCATAGGGATACCAAGATGAGCAGGACACCGTTCTTACCTTCAAAAGCTTAACTTAAAGATCGAAAACAACTACTAAAGAACAACCAGCTTGTTCTTTATCTTCTCTTATACACGCAGCTTCCAAATGAAAGTGGCCATCCAGAAGGGAGCTAAAAAGAAGGCAAAAAAGAAGGGTTTCCAAAGTAACTTACTTGCTGACTTCTTTGTACTGGGCTATCTCCTCAATATAAAGAAGGTCATGCAACCGTGACTGATAGTTGTTCTGAGTCAATGATTTGTCTAACACCGATTGGGTAAACAGCTGGTCAGCAGAGAGAGGAATTTGGTATCTGATAAGAAGGCTCTTCTCCAAATCAGTAGTTTCACGAGGCTCAAAATCTATGATAGTCTTAGAAGAAGAATCCCAACGCTTAGCAGTGGTTACTAGCTGTTGTCTTGCATGCATCAGGTATTCGAGATCTAAATGGACACAAAAACACATCTGTAAAGGAACACAATAATTGAAATTCTCTAAAGATACATCCCATTTTGCTAAGAGAATTAAAATCAAAATAACACCAAAAAAGTCACTACACAAATCACAAATGTATTCTGAAATCTGGTTTTAACAAAAAATAGAACTCCAGGTCCTCAATAAATAAACACACACACACATAGTATATATAGAGTATATATGTATGTGTGTATATATATTTGAAGTTAATGCTTCAGTCAAAAGAAATCTAGTCTGCAGAAAAGATAAAATACATTTCTTCTTAGACAAACTCGATCAACTATTAATCTCTCCTTGCCTCACTAGAGAAAGGGAGTGATGATCACCAAAATCTATTTATTGGCGTTGGGGTGGGGGTGGGGTATGTGGTAAAATCACCATGAAACTATCTGAAATAAACTTGCTACAAACAAAACTCTTCGAACACATTCATGTAAATCACTATGAACACCACATAAACATGTCGTGGAATTTGGAAAGCGGATTATTAGATGCAGTTAGGGTTAAAATTAACACCTTATCATTAGATTTCCCTTTGGACTCATTTGAAATTTGCGCTAGTTTTCAATATTTTCTGCTTTCTTTCAATTGAGGTTTTTCTGTTTTACTTTGCTATTGTCGTTGGGTTTTATGGTGTGTGTTTTTCTGTGTATGAAATCCAGGAGAGGTAAATCTATAAAGACAGTAACTGGGTTAATGGTTTCTTGGACATACGGTGAGGAGATTGTGGGGATATGGGGAGCTGATAACAACTGTACACAAAGAAACAATTGAATTGGTATGTGTTGTGTTGTATTCTCAAAAATGTTTCAAATGGTTGAAATGGAAACTTTTTTTTTAAAAGGTCATGCAATTATCCACTCAAATGCAACTTCAGAAAAATCTAGTCTATTCTCATTGACATTATCCCACAAATAGGGCTCCATGTTGAATGACAATTCCAAGTTCTGATATCGCTGAAAAAAAGGGCTGAACCCACCAGATTGTAAACTCTGAGCACTGGATAGGTTCACTCTGTCTATAGTGTACGTTACTTTTCTACTGGGTGTAACGCAGACACTGAGATAAAGGGAACTGAAGGGCTAGGGAAAAGGAGTTGAGGAGAAGGGTGTATGATTGACTCATTAGCCAAAAAATCCTGGTTGAATATACAACATAAATTGGAAAAGTGGTTTGACAGCTCCGTGGAAATTTTAGGCAGACGGCTTTTTAGAGGGTTAGCCAAAGATCAATTAAGTCTCAAAAAAACAGAAATAAGTTACTGTATGCTAACACATGTAATGAGAACATAATGCATCTTCCTTAGTGAGAGCTTCTATTGAGAAATGCTATGTTTACATTATATCGTCAACCATCAAGAGAAATTTCTCATTAGCAAAATATTAAAAGAAGATAATGGTCCTAATTTCCAACCCTTGTTTCTTGAAGAGATAGTTTTGTTATCATAAGATGCAAATAACATAAATCTGACTATTATCATCATCAAGATGTAAAGAAGAACTACTTACTAAGAACCTGCATGTTTAAAACCCTCCGGATGAGAGAAAAATTATCTTCCTATTCTGGGCTAGAAGTATTCAAGTTTTTTAGAAGTCACATGAACTACTATTTGTTTTTCTCGTTTTACCTATACAGATGCAGGATTCAGACTGATTTACAGAACTTTTAACAGTGTCTTTAGTGATTTCAAGGGGTAGCACAACAATTTCAAAGCAATTATCAAGTAATGTAAATTTTTATTCCTTTCTCCTCCCCATACCCATAAGCACAGTGCAGGAGGATTTTGAGGGGAGGGAAAAAATCCCTGTGCACCAGCATCAATGTCTACCCATGACTGCTGATCTAAGTCATCGAGTCATATCCAAAATAAGCTGTGGTCAATGACTGCGAATTTATGGGTGTTCTGTAAACAATCCTCTTTCCATACTTCATTCGAACTAGAGTAACATCTGCCTCCAATCTTCTTACTTGTAAGAAGCAATCTGTCATACCTGTTTAATTGTCCAACTAACATGGTGACATCATCGGTTACATGTTGGGCTGTTAGCAGAAAGTTGGCGGTTCAAACCACCAGCTGCTCCGAGGTAGAAAGAGGAGACTTTCTGCTCCCGGGAAGAGTTACCGACCCAGAAAGCACAGGTGACGCTCGCCTCTGTCCTACGGGGTCACTAAGGCATTAGAATTGGCTCAACATACAATCCATCCTTAAAGGTGCTTTGGTCTGTAGAGTTTCCCTTTAAGAGGAGGAACGTAAACAGCGACAGCAGCTCCCGGAGAAACAGTCCAGACTACCTCACTACACCAGCACCTGTGCCACCTGCACACCTGCTAACACCGGCACCAGACAAAGACCTTGCTCAGGCCAGACTGAGCCAGCTCAGGCATAACAGGCACTGCACTCCAACATGCAGCAGGTTAAAAAGACAACAATCTGGGAAGAGGGACAATGAGCAAGTTAGGATCAATATTCATAAAACCAGTCAGGGAGAGTTTAACACAGACTTATTGACTAAGTCCTTCAATATCAAATCTCCAAGTCAACTTGCCAGAAACTGTAAACCTACAGAACTTGCTGGCCTGAGGGTAGGCTGAAACTATGAAGACTGTAAGAGATTCATAAGAAAAGGCTCAAGATAAACACATGAAGTTAATCTTTTGAAGATAACACAGATTGGAACAACTAGTCTAATGAAGAGACATTTCCCAACACCCTTGACCTTCTGACCACTGAGATTCGTTGGCTTGTCTTCACGCAGTTACTAGTCTAATGCAGAAAACTACAAAGGGCTTGTTTCAGTTTGCAGTATGCAGCACAGCAAACATGGAACATATCTCCAATAGGATCTTGTATTAGATACAAAGAAACTGAGGGAGGAAAAGACTGAGAGAGTACAAATATTATGTTCTCTATCCCTGGCACAGAAGCTGGCCCATAAAAGCAGGGCTATAAATTTGTATTAATTATGGAATTTCTTTAAAACAGCTATATTTATCTAAGACTTAAAGGGAATGAGAGGATATGCGTTCATTCCAAAATCAAACACCACACTCTTTCTTTAAAAATATTGAATCGATACCTTTATAAGTCTTAACTGCCTATACTAAGAATAAAATAAAATCCACAAGGAACCCTAAATTACCACTTCAGCTATTCCCTTCTATATCCTTCCTTTCACCAGAACTGCTCATAGAAACAAGATGAACACCTCTTGCTTGCTGGTGTTTTCTGTCGTTATTTTGCAATTCGGCAAAGAGGCTAATAAGAGTTGTAAACAGGAGGCCATCATTCTTCCTTCAGGCTTCGACTTGGTCATGTTAATCGTTTATGGAAAACACAATTCCTTAAAATCTATTTTTCCTATGACTTTTATGCTCAAATCATAAATCAATATGTTGGAAATACATATTTACTTATATATATGCTCCTAATTTACAAACAACTCTGGGAACTTAGGATCATCTTTAAAATCTTACAACGCTTTAATGCTAATGTTAACATACTCTGCTGGACTCAAAATGAAATGTATAACATCAAATTTTCAGATTCAAGCAGAAAAAATTAATTTTCCAACACCCAGTCTCCAGATCTTAAAAGAGGGATTATAAAAGAACGGTATGGTCTGATCTTTGCCACCTATTTTTGAAAGGCATATCTTTCATTAAAAAAGAAAAGGTTTTTTGTTAAATACATACAAGTGTCTTCTTCTGAACCTGAGCCTCACCAATGGGGGGGAAACCCAGAAAGAAAAACAAAGATGACACAGATTTCCAGAACAGTTTCCTGAACTGCCACAGAACTAGATTACACAAAATCCATTCACAGTCCAGAAATGAAAAAGGTTGAGTGCTTTCATCATGCTTTTTAAAAAGCTGCAGTGGATTTTTTTGTTGTTTGATTTCCCTCCTCACTTCAAGTTTGAATTAATTGAAGCAGACCTTTTAGAGTTCAATACTTAACATACGGAAGACCTACTACTACATGAGTTTATCTGGCGTTTCAAAAGAAGTCATACATGACGAAACTAAGTAAGGTCCCACAATCGGAACAGCTTGGCCAAGGCCTTTACTAAGAGCCAAGAATGTTTACCAAGATGCCCTGTGAACTGCCTCCCAGGAAGAAAACCAGCATGCAGCATTCCTTCATCTGTACATGGGATACTTTTCTATCAAACCCATGTATTCATGTCTTGCAACCCAGGTTAGGAAACACTAAATCAATAGAAAGTCAAGCCTGGTCCAATCTTGCAACTATAGAAATGAACTCTGTTACCAGTACCAATTTAAAGTCAAAAACTTGCTTATGTAGCAAACAGCCAATCAAGTGGATAAACTGAAAACCACAGTTCCCATTCAAATTCAGTTTCACAGCATCACTAAACTTCCTTATGAATGCAACAACTAAATTATATTGCTATCGTTTGTAATAGTATCAAAATTGTATAGAACCATGATAGAGACCAAACCTAATTCAATTCAATTCCATTGTACCCGTGACAGGACTGGGTTCTTAATTCCAGGTCAGGTAAGACCAAGGAAAGGCTTGGTTGGCTGAGGCTGGAGGTGAAATGAACTAGGCTGTCATACGGCCACCAATTAAACAGAGTACTTATCTTGCTCTCAATGTCTCTGAATGTGGCTCACACAAAGATTACACAAAAAGATACGAAGTAGAGGGCACTGGCATTTTACATTTTATTGTTGCAGACTGTTACATGATGATGTGATTTCATATAAAATCTTTTGCCCTGAAACTTTTTACTGACAAGAACTTTGCTGTAATAATCAAAAACACACAGAAGCAGAACAAGTATTACACTGTTTATATCCTAAATTTACTTACCTAAAATTCTATTAAGACTGTATGCAACAATATTGAAACAAATGTGGTCAAATAAAAATGGCTAAGAGGACACAAACAACAAGCCATTAGATGTCATCAATTTTAAAAGGGTAAAAAATTAAAAATTAGCCCAACAGGTCAGCTATTACAAGCAATAACCAAAAGAAGTCTGCCAAAGGCCAGTCAGCTTACTTAATCCTAGATTTACTTTATTTTTTCTTTTTATAATGTTAAAAATCTATCAGAAAATATATTTTGTATATTGTATCTTGTTCTCTTAAAATATTTTTTTTCTTCAGTTGTTAATAAATCTTAATATGTGAAATTGCTTTAATGTTTCCAAAGTAGGTCAATACAATGCCTGCTTGCTTGTTATCCATTCTTTTCCATGACCTAAGTAAGTAGCAGTCAAATGAGACAAGGATCTCAAACTGCAGAGAGGTTACTGAACAAAGATGCAGTAGTGGCTCCATAAGAGAGGATGTCCCGGGGACTTTGAGACAGTGCCTGGAAAAGGACATCATGCCTGGTACAGTCGAGGGACAGGGGAGAAGAGGAAGACCCTCCACAAGATGGACTGACACAGTGGCTGCAACTATGGGCATAACATAACAGCAATTAGGAGGATGGCGCAGGGCCGAGTGTTGCAGTCTGTCGTACACAGGGTCATTATGAGCCAGAACTGACTCAAGAGGATCCAACTGCCACCACCACTACCATAGCTGAACGAAATATAAAATGTATTGTGCTTTCAAGGTGATACATTAGAAGGGTCAAAAATGATACGCTACTTCTCCCAGTTACAAGGCTCAAAGCATCAGTCATCTTGGATACCTTCTCCGTACATCTACCTTCTCATTGACTTGACTGTCTCATTATCTGCTATTTCACATTTATGGTAATTTTGGAAACATTCTAACACAGCATCACCAATGGTCCAGGTCCTATGCAGGGCAAACCCAAGTCCAGGGCACCCTCCAGAGGCCCCAATGAACACTGAGCTACACAAGGGCGACAAGATACCTTCTCCCATTTGTCCACAATATCTTGGATCAGCCACAGGGCGCTAGCAGGCTGCAGAGGTCACAGGTGGACAGTAGAGGTGGAAGGAAGGTGATGAACAACACCTCATTGGTGAGGCTCAGGTTCAGAAGAAGACACTTGTATGTATTTAAAAAATTTTTTTTCTTTTTTTAATGAAAGATATGCCTTTCAAAAATAGGTGGCAACCCATCACCTTCAACCCCCACCAGCTCTATGGTGATGAGGAAGACATGCTAGGGGAAGGAGTCTGCCATGCCACATACATTCTGAGATGTACCAGGAGACAGGCAGTAAGCAAGTCAGTAAGGGCAAGGGGAGGACAACAGGCCTAAAGACAGGGCACAGCTGAACCCTTGTTTAACACCCATTTCCCATAATGACACAGTCTTTAGAATCTCACCATGTCTATAAGTGAGGAGTGGGTGTATTGTATACCTAAAAATGTGGAAGAGCATCAAGGAAGAGTTGGGCATCTGTGGCATCATCAGGGCTAGTCTAGTAGTAATTCTCCTACAGTGCAAAGCTGAGGCAATGCAAAGAGACCAACTGTACCAAGTCTAAAATAGCCACTTTATGGCTCTTTTCAAAAATATTTGCCAACTTTTATACTAGTAGATATAAGCCAAGTACTTTATATTGTCAACCATCCTATTGATTTGACTATGGAAATTACTTTATTCTCATTCCAAATAGTCCTGAAAGTACAAAAATACAAATACATCAGAACAAAAACAGGTAAAAGCAGTTAAAATAAGTAGAAAATAGGAGTAAAATGTAGCATGGGTGATTTCAACACACATACAAGAAGGCCTTACAGAATTGTTAAATTTAGGTCCCAGTGTTGTTTTGACCTTACTAGCTGCTAAAGTAAAGAAAGAGAAGCAGTTCTAGCTATTCACTATGTACCCCAAATAAAATAATGGCACTTATTCATGAAAAAGACAGCTCCTTCTGGGTTCTCATAAATGGAACACTGTGCACATTGTGAAAAACCTCCTCCACAAGATGGCTACTTACAGCCAGCGCAAAATAGCAGGTTCGTACCGCTGTGCTACAGGAAGTGCTGATGTTAAACATTCAGCTAAGCACCTGTAAACCCAGCCAAGAGCAAAGAAAGACAGGCTAGCAAGCCATGAGTTATTACAGCCAGTTAAAATAGCCCTTCCAGAAAATCCCTAATGTGATATATTATAATGCTGATATGCCTGTGGCTATGGCCCCATTTTGGAGGGCATTATCTGCTAACAGGAATAGGATGAGATTAAGATTTGACCTTGTAGAGGGTGTGAATCAGGCCACACTCTTGGTTTAATGGTTATCTTGGTTACTGTTACTTGTAATGAATGTAAGGAATGATTTGCAACAGCTGAGAGGAGAAATGATGCTTCTGGCGTGGCCTGGGAAAAAGCCTCGCTGATTAAGATTAGTAAGAGGCCAGTGCCTACTGGAAACTTACTGCCAACGGCCCTGGTCATTTATGCATAAATAAGAGACAGTCCAGGGTGGAGAATAGATTATTATATTTCGGTACAATTAAAAATATGAAGGGTTATATGTTAATTTGATTGCACTATTGATTAAGGTGACCAGATTTAAAGCGGGACATCATGGCGGTGGGGCGGGCGGGTGGGGGGGTTCTTGATTAAAAATTTGGTATGTATGGACCAATTAGACCGTTCCCTAGCTTGTCGTGCATTCTTTCCAAAAATCGGGACTTTTTTAAAACGCCCAAAAATGGGACATCTGGTCACCTTACTATTGATATACAAGGTAACTTCCAGTAAATGACCCTTTCCTGAATAGGTCAGGTAAAAGGGTGGAGGAAGACACTGATAGGATGTACCTGTAACTGTGAACAGGCTTCCCTGTAATGTCATCCTACTGACTATAAAATGAGCCCTCCAGGAAGCATGGACTAGAATCTTATCAATGGCAAAGGCCAGGAGTGGAACACGTCTTCTAGACCCAGTGTCTAGCTCATCCCTACATGACCTTCGGATTTGGGACTGAACAGTATCCATCACCATGTGAGACCTGTCCTCAAACTTTAGTGCATTTCTATGGGATGCTGCAATGATGTGCAGAGCCCGGAAACGGGCAGGAATATACTCAAGGGAGAGGGGTGGGAAATAGCTGAAGAGCGCCATGGAAGAATCAGGCATTTGAGGCATCATCAATCCCCAATTCCTTGGAACTAGCTTGGTATTAATTCTCCTAAAAGAGATGACTACCACAGCCCTTTCCTCATCCTGGTGGACTCCAGCATAAAACGTAGCACAGTCAACAATATGACAATGCACACAGTATTCCTCCACTTCTACAGGCACATACTTATCACAGAGCTACCTCCAGAAACACACAGCTGGTCCTGGAAGGCACCTTGGCTTCCTTTACACTGGTGAATGTGCACAACTAACTTACCAAGACTCGTACAGAAAACTTGTCCATTCACTTTTAGCAGCAAAGTTAATATGGAAAGTCAACATATGGACATGGAGCTAATAAAGTTGTCTCTACAATTACCATTCAGATGATTTTTGTAGCCAAATGAATATTGAAAAATGTTACTGTGTTAAAATCCTCTTACTTTGAAGATGACATCGGTAGACCCAACCAGACCTGATCACAAATATGGGAAAGCACCGGACGAGCTTTGCTTGATGACTGAAAGATGTGAACCACAGTGAGTCTGTTACAGAATAACCAAATCCTTAATTTGGGACTTGTGCCTTTATTATCCCCTCCCTATCCACAGACTGTTTAGAAGCCATTATACCTTTTAATGTGTCTACTAAAGTACCTTTTAATACAGTGTATCAAGGGAAAGATTTAAATATTACCTTCTGTAGAAGCTGCATCAATCATTACTCTTTGCATGAGAACCGGTTCCAATCCAAAGTCGAAAACTATGGTTTGGCGAAAAGTTCCAAATATCTCTGTGTTGAATGCTATCCCGACTTTATACACATAATGATCTAGTCCATTCTGGGCCATCTTCCCTCCTATCCATTCTTGACAGTTCTCTGGGACGTCTTGTGACACCTGGGTAGTACTATCTCCAGCAGATATTGCAACGATACTAAAATGAGGGCGATGAGCATCATAAAGTAATGCCACACGATACAGCATTCTTGCAGGCTACAAGGAAATTTAAATAATCCACTGAGTACAAAGGGGAAAAAAATCCTATTGCAGTTGGGCTCCTCAGTAAAAATATTACCATAAGTGACTTTTATTTTACCCCTATATCTAAAATAATATGCTAAAAATATAGTTGTGCGCATAATCCACAAAAAAAGTCCCTTGTCAAAATGATGTATGTATGATGCACTACTAGCCAGGCTACTTTCGGGGACGTGGTCATCTTTCTGTGGCAAAAACTACCACCCTGTATGGCCAGCGGTCTCCAACTTTCCATCTGCCTAAAGAGTTTAACCTAAACTCAATTAGGCAAGACCTCGGCATCAGAGGCAGCAACCCTTGAAGGTACTGGACTGGGTTCAAGTCTAGAAGTTCCCAGAATTTTCACCCCTAGAAGCAAATGGCAGAGTGGATGAAATGGCCAGGAAAATTTGACAAACTCAACCACTGTTGATGCTCCCAGGAACTTTTGACTTAACTTCATCCTTAAGCTTGAACATGATAATTTAATGTGGCAATCACTGCAGGAAATGTCTCTTGCACTAAAAATCCACTATTATAGGATTCAATTAAATAGAAAAACTAGTTGTCATTCTGCAAGCATCTTAGACCTGCCAGATTACATGCCTTAATTTTCAGGTACATAAAAGTCACGAACCCTTGCAAAAAGACTCATCATAAGTATCTTACACAGCTACATAAGTCTTATCTCCAAGTCTAATAATAAAAATGTGTTTTGAATGACTGAATACAGAAATACACTTTAGAACAATACAGAATCTACATACAATGGACTTATTTCAAGACATTATTACATTTTTTTATGGTTACACAATTGTTTGTCAAAACTCCTAGAAACGTAGAGTAGACAGAGTGAATCTTTTTTTTTCTTCCTATTATTGCTCATTTAACAGAGATTGGAAGGTCCAAAAAAGTTTACAGAAAAGTCAACAATTCGTATAAGTGAACTGGCAGAAAATGCACACCTTGCAAGTGAGAGCAAAGGTCCATGTTTGGTGAGATCGCTTGGTGCTGACGGTAACCGACAGGCCAGGGTGATGCTCTACCTTTACTCCTTCGATACACTCACTAAGCTGGAAACAGAGAGAAATTAGTGCTTTGCTCTTTCAACTGAACGCACAAATAAAAACTTGTCACATGCATTATAAAAGAAATGGCAATGCTAACAATGTGGTGGAGGAGCTCAGCTGACAAGGTATTTGATATAAGCTCATTCTCCAAGATTTTTGGGAAAAAGTAAAGTGAAAGCAAAGGGACCAGACAAGACAAAGAAAACAGCAGTGATAAACAGCCAGATGAAAACAAGGTAAGCTCTGCTCTTTATTTTAACAAACGGTGTAACACCAGTTACGAAAAACAGCATTTTACCAAGAATCGGGTTCTTCAGACAGAGAAAAAGAAAACCAGCCCAAACAGTGCACATCGTAGAGCCATGATTCAATCAAGCTCATTGTTTGAAACAAACAAACGGAGAAAATATAGTTGATCTTCCTCACCACTTTCTCTGGAGATAATGAATTCATCCATTTTTCTATCAAGGTTTCCATGTAACTGCCTGAGAGCTGTTTGTTCTCGTTTTGCTGTTTTAATTTTATCAACCGCGAAGCATATCTTTTCTGCCATTCTGCTAGTTCTTCTTGGGAATGTGCTGAAGTACACTGGGCACCATACCTGCAGATTCCTTGCTCTAAAAATCTAAGTCGAACAGGAGAAACGGTTTGATCATGTACTTTGTTGGCCCGCTCAAGAAATAAACTCCCAGCATTTGCCCTCTGACTCTTCAATAACAAAAGCAAAACATGATCTCCTGGAAAGTTGTATTTGTCACATTATTCTGTACAAAGGAAGAAGAGGTTCAGAAAATATTTACAAATAGTTGGTCAAAAGCAAAAACTCCTCATTGGAATTAGGGATCAATCCTAAATCAGAATATATTCATGAACCTCCCCCAAAAAAATATAATTGAAAAAGTATTCTTCCTTTGTGCTGTAACAATCTATTAGACAATTCCTCTTAGAGCAGAATTTTTCTAAAGCAATACTGACATCAAGTGGCTTTGTTGCTCAAGCACAGGTACACCCTACTTCTCAAAATGATAAACCCTACAAGGAATTTTCAATATGCTGTAAATTTTACTCTGGGAAAAAAACTATTACTAAACTATCAATTTATTAAGGCTTCTACAATCACTCCTCAAATCTAGTGCTATTTGCACCTTTATTACTATTATCTGTATTTGATGGAAAATATTGGACTACATTTATTTCTTTGAAATGTTAAAAAAGCTTACAATGTTTATATTAAGGTATAATTTATTCAGTGGATATAATTTACTCAGTGGATATATCCATGCTCAATGGATATTATTTTAAAATCTTTATTTTAAGGGATACGGAGTTAATGATTTCCCCAAAATCTGTGGCTCAGAAATTTTTATCAATTCAGTGGTTAAAACAGATAAAAGTCCAAGATTTGAAGCAATAATTGAGAGAGAAAAAAATACCCTCAAAATGATGGGACAAGTTTCTAATCAATGAAAACATTAAAAATTGATGTAAACCCCTCTAAGAGAAATAACTAAAATAAACTTTATATACCAAAAACATGAGAGGGATAGTAATTTAAATATAAATTTCAACTGGAATAGTCAGAAATAGAAAATGAACCACAGCACAATATAAGGTATAAAAAAACGTAAGGTTTTCACTATACGTGAAAATATGGGTGTATTTGAAGCTTTTCCTAATGACTCACAAAGGCTTGAAAGTAAATTATACTCGTTTTTTTTATTTTTTACTTCAGAAAACACTTTAAAATCATGTGTTTTATGTTATTCTTATTATGTCTTAATAAGCCAAGTATTTTTCTTTCTATTGTTTTGTTTTAAATAACTTCCCGTGGGGAAAAAAAAGGTCATATACTCCTATTTCCTCTTCACAGGACTGTGCTCTCCTTCTCCTACAAAATACCACCAGGATTTTCACATTTACTATTCAGTTTCCTTATTTCTCCTCCAAAATCAAAGTGAACACCCTCACTTTTCAGCCATAAAAGCTACATTCCGAATTGCCTTAAGTAACCATTAAGTTCAGAGTAAAATGAACTTATATCTGAAATCCTAAAAAGAACTGAAAGGTTAACATTTTAAAATGTTATTTTTAATTATTAAATTTTAAAATGTTCGTCATGCAGCCATACATTTCTCATAAATTCTGCACGAGGATCACGTGAAGATAATAGATTTTCTTTCCCCACTGCCCACTGCCCACCTCCCCCCACCGAAAACATACTCAAATAATTTTGATATAGATCATTTCAATTTTGAGCACCATAATCTAGGTAAATTTCCGAACAGCAACTAAATTCAGTCATAATCAAGCTGGGCTTAGACTTTTGAACGAGGTCTTAACAATCCCCCTTTATCTAGGCCACTATTTGTCATTAAAAGGTTCATTATTGTGGCCTCGACTTTCGATCATGACCAGCTGCCTCGGTTTACACCGAAACCAATTTACTCCTCTGACATTTCCCTTTTCCGTCCTTCACATATTCTTCCCATTTGAATTATTACTTTTCCAAAAGTAAAGGAAAATTATCTATCCTTTGAACAACAGATATGCCATGGGTTTAAGAAAAAAATTCACATTACCTTTTACACAAAGTATATTCCTCGCTGCTTGTGATTCCCCTAGGTGGTGGGCGGAAATGCCAACCATTACAAGATCCTAGAGAGTAATTAGGATATAGTCTTATCATTTGAGGCCTGCTAGCAATTCTGTTATTTTGAGGTATACGAAATCCTAGAATTCCTCCACACACATCATTCCAGCTGATGTAAAATAGGACATGCCACACTTGCCCCTACCAAACACCATCTACCAATCAAATTAAAGTCAATTAACTATACTACACGTGGATCACTGAAGCAGTTATCCCTTTAATATCCCTTCCTCTTTTCCAGCAATTGGTAGACAGACGTCCCTGATAAACTAAAGGGGATGTTGACACACTTGACATTTCTTGAGCAAGGGCTGGGTCTCCTCTACGGAGTCTTTAAAGCCTAAGAAATGATTGTCACCTGGAAGAAAACCTTGTATGATGAATTCCAATACTGATTCGTGAATGAGAAGAAACCCCATGTTATCACTCGTTCCCTAGGGTTTGTGTGACACAAGTTTATTGTAAAAATTAATCCTTTGTGGTAATTAATATCAACTTCAAAAATCTGAATTCTGAGACTGGAGCTCAAAAATTATATTTATTACTTCAGAACAGTATGCACTAGGAGTTGTTTTAATGAAAGCTTCCAAATAAGCCAGGAGATGATAAGGCTTCAGAGAGAGAAGGCTACAACTACACAGACAGGAGGGACAAGCTTTCCAAGGACCTCACATTTATTTCCTCTTGGCTCACAGTGAAGGGGGTGGGGTGGGGGGTATTCAGCTGTTCTTCATTCCTTACTAACTACTACGTGACATTGGGAAAATGACTGAACCTAAGTCAACATCCATTTCATCTCTTATAATAAAGTGGAGCACAAGTCTGAGAAGCCAAGGGCAGCTCATAGCATTTAGCAAGCACTCAATGGACATAGGTCTCTCCTCTTCCCTGCCCTCTGGGGAGAGAAGGGGAGATAACAAACTGTAAATGTAATAGGAACAACTCCACTTAAGATAAGAAGACTTCCTCCCTCTAGAGCAGTGGTTCTCAACCTTCCTAATGCCACGACCCCTGAATACAGTTCATGTTGTGGTGACAC